TCTTTTTTCGCAACGATTACACGATCTAACAATGTATTTTCCACTAAACAGATTTCGCCCCAACGGCACTGAATTCACGGTGGAACCAACGGTTGATGCCTATTAGTTTGGCAGAAACCCTGCTATCTCATATTAGGAGGCTATCGCATAACAGGGGATGACTCTCCTCCATATATTCGTATATAAGATTTTATTTTACACCCCGTTAAGCGACTTGTCTTGAGATAATCGGTCGACGCTTCGCCTCGGGTCTACGTTGCCAAATCCGCCGATTTTCTCGACGTGGCCACATGCCGAGCAACCGGTCGCCATAAATTTACGCGGCAATAACCACGCGTGAATTACACGGCCTTGCAACGTCTGACTGCAAACGAAAATAAACTGTCCCCTTCCAGGAATTCGGCCCGTGTCTGCCCATCGACTTCGCAGTTGCACAGCGAGGAGGAGGTGGAGAAGGTGGAGGAGGAGGAGACAGAGAAGGTGCGGGCGTAACGTTCCGTCGGGTTTAACGCATCGCTCGGTTTCTATCGACCCGTCGGCGCAACCGGTGGGTTCGCGACTTTGCGGAAACGAGCAAGAACGGGATGGCCTGCAACGAGCGCGGCAGCAACAACAGTTAAACGCACCCCCCTCCGGCTTGCACGTTAATACGCGCCGCACACCCACGGCGGAGTTTAACGAGCAGAAAAATAGCGCCCTCGCTGAAATGAGGTACGCTCCCCCGTTGATAGGAACGTCGCTCGGTGCGCTCTCGGCAGGTGCTGAGAACGGCAGCGAGAGGCACTGTCCGCCCATAAAGATCGCCCTTATCCAGCTGTGGCCTAATTCGTGACCGCTGTGTACTTTGAAGTGACGAGCGAGCGAACGGCTCCGCTCTATTAATACGTGAGACATTAAGTCAAGAGACTAGCAGCACGCGAGCCCTAATTTCCATCGAAGAGCCAGGCCGTTATCGCCGCCAGTCTCTCTCGCGATAAGCATTATCGGTGCCGCCTCTCATCGACGATTGATCGCGCCTCTCTCGTCACGAAGATCCACTGGCAGCTGGCCAACGCGTGCGCCGCTCGCTGTCGAATCACGATGGATGACATAAGGTCCGGTTGAACGTCCTCGTCCTCACGACCGCGAAAAATTAATTAAATCGCCGACTTTCGACGCAGTGTCACTGAACAAAACGTACGTCTACAAGACACCTTTAAGGGGATCCTCAAGCCGTTTGGCGAACTCGATCGGTGTCGATAAGATAGGAGACGGGATTATAAACGTCAATTATCGACATTTTTAATTCCAAGTTCCGCTTAGTCCGAGAAATTTATAGCCAAATCAATTTGCAACTTTTACGAAAAAGCAGCAATTTTATTAGCTACACATCGCTCAAACCGAGATTTTAGATCGAATTCTAGCATCAACACCATGGTTTTACTGACAATCTGACAGATGTTTGGCAGCGACTCCTCTCAAAAGAGCCTGCAACTATTTCTACACGCCATACTGCTCCTTTTCTCTTCTTCTAGACTTGGATTTCTGGACTTGCGTTTATTAGAAGTAATCTTTTTTTCTAGGCGGTTAATCTTAGTTCTAATTGCACGATAATGTTCTTGTACGTTGTCCCTAGAGTATGCTGGTCTCATTTTGTACATATTCATTGTAGAAGTCTTGTACAAATATTGTCAAGTGTACCAAAAATTAGTGAAATTATTTTTTTTTCGTTTTTTATATAAAGTCGACCAGCATCGTCTAGATTTTGCTGCGTACTTTAGTTCCGTAAAAGAGTTTTGCATTTCTATAAAGCCAAGTAAAAGATTACTTCGAACAAAGAATGTCGATAAAACAGGCGGCTTTAGGATCCCCTTAAGTCGTCTTTTAGACATGCTTACTGTAGTATTACATTGATTGTCGTACGACAAATTTTTCAAGCGTGTTGATTGGCTGCAAGACAGAGAAGTTCGTGAGTATCTGTGAAATCGTCTAGCTTGTAGCCAATCGACAAATGTAATAGTACCCTAATCCGTAAAAATGACAATGGCGGATGTAATAAAAATGATTTTACGATTGGGAGATTCAAGGTGACAGGCTCAATCTAATCTTTTCGCGAGCTCGAAGGAGCCACTTCAAATGTAATTTCTTCGACTTTAAGACGGTCCGCTGTCGCATCCATTACATTCATTAATTCCAAGCTTATACAAATTTGGTTTTGCGCTCGTAAATTTATGTGTCATTGTCGCGCGTTACCGAAGTAACGGGATAAGAAAGGATTCCTATCTGTGGGGCTTAAAATTTAGATCGTCTCCCACCCCGTGGAATTTTCATTAGAGCCGGACTAGGAACGCCAATGTGCTAATAGCGCTTTCAAGTAATTGTACCGTAGATACTGCAGTTAATCGCGTCGATGTCTGCGTGTTTATTACGTTTCATCTCGACAGACGACGCGACAACGAAAGCAGCTTTAATTCACTGTTGACATCATTTTCCCTGACCCAGAAACCGCTAAAATATTCTATGTACCGCCGACGCGACGACCTTCTTTACGCGCGGACGTCACTGTTTTCCGCTTGCATCCGCGATGCACGGCCGAAATATTCGACTTTTAGTCTTTAGTCGTATTTCTGACGTGCCTCGAGTACGAAGGGAAAAAAATAACGAAAGAATTGTTAGACGTTCCCCTAAAATAGACGAAGACCGCGCTGCATTAAATATCGAACGCAGCCCACGTACCTCGGACGAGTGCACCGATATATTTAAAGATATTACAACAACATTTCTGGTGGCTGCTATTGTGTCTTCTGGTAGCAGCAGCGCGATAAATCTGCGGAGATCGGCTATAAAAACCGAAAGTGACGCGGCCGGTTCCGACGCCCGTTGCATACGCGAGAAATACGACTTGCGAAGAGGCGTCGGTGGTGGCGCAACGTCGACGGTGCTCGAAGTAATCGGGCAGAGTCGAGGTGCCGAGGATTTCCTCATCGCCGCGGCTTTTAGACCGGCGTGCCAAAGTGCCGAAGTAGCGATGCACATCTCCCGGCTCCGCCGCTGACGTCGACGTTCACCGAGTATCGCGCCGCGTCGGCACGTACGCACTCCCGGCTGCTCGGTATTCGAGTCGGGTAATCCATCGTCTCTACGCCTAAAAATTCATCTACGAGCGCGAGGTCTCGCGCGGGGCAGAGGCGGCGGAAACACGGCGGAATGCCGCGGCGCGGCGGCGGCGGCCGGCGGCGCGGACAGTTCAACGCCCTGCGCCGCGATGATCCTTCCCGTCATCCGGAATGATCGCGCGCGAGCTCTCCTCTCGTGTATGTATACCGTCCTGGACATAATGCCATCACTGTCGCCGAACTGTCATCGAGCGTTTACGCGGAAAGGAACCGGCCGATAGAGAAGCCAGGCGTACGGGAGACTTACGACAGCGAGAATCGACGATGTCTCTCGATAACGCGATGCAGACGCGCGGAATTCCACGAACGAGGTTCAGCGATAGGACGTGCTGCTGTCTGAGCGTTTTGTTTTTTAAGATGCAAACGTTTCAGCCACGTGATGCTAGCATTATTAATAATCCCGACATAAGGGTTGTTCATTATGTGAAATTGGATAAGCTATTTGAGTAAAATGAAAAGTATCCATCGTATCCGTCTATTTAATTTGAAATACTGCATCTCACCTGTTGCAAACTTTATTTGCTTAAGGGGATGCTGGAGTAATTCTGCACTTTTTGGACCTTTTGCTCCTAGAGCTGTAAATTCACGAAAACCTTTGTGTAATACACAAATTATGTGACTTTTGCGTACAAACCGACAGTGACCCACTCTTTGGACTAAATAAAAAACAGCATGGTATCGTTGAACTTAACTTTAGACGCCTACACTAGGCTGCTGTTCTTTGATTTAGTCCGAATAGTTGAACACTTTTTATCTATACGCATAAGCCTCAGGGCCTGCGTCTACGACGCTAGAACTCGGTCCAAGTTCTAGTTCCGAGAAATGTGCAGCCAATCAACTTGCAGCTTTTGTGAAATAGCTGCAAGCTGATTGGCTGCACATTTCTCGAAACTAGAACGCGGACCAAGTTCTAGCGTCGTGGACACAGGGCCTTTGTAATTCGTGTGTCACGCAAATGTTTTCAAGAATTGACAGTTCTAGATGCAAAAAGTGCAGAATCACTTCCCTTAAGGAAACTACGAAATGTGTTACATGTCGATCGCCGAACCGCGTGTAATACGTGGCTGTGTTGTATGTACATACATTACGAATATTGACGCTTCAAAGCCACACCGCGAATCACGACGAATTTTAATGAGTCGTCCGACGGGTATTATTCACGGAACAATTCGTCAGCCCGTTACGAACGCGAGCGCGTCATAATAATTATTTATTATATGTACCTGCCGCGTCCCGCCGTGCCTTCGCACGTCGCGAATTATAACGGGCGCCGCGGCGCGAGATGACGAATACTGATGTCGAATTTGAATAATTATCGCCGACGAGGCCCAGCCATCGCCCCTCCCTTACTTAGGTACGTAATAAGCGCCGGTGCGTTGAAATATGACGCGTCCATTTGAATACGGTACATTTGAGATTGTTTCGAGTCTGACGTGTGGCGCGAAGTATAAAGAACGACCGTGCCCGAGAGCCCGAAGGTGTTCCGCGTGCCCAATTTGGAAGCGATCTGGCGTCGAGACGAGGATGGTAGCGGTCAAATTCTACGCGAGTGTTAATTTAAGCAGTAGCAACGGGCTTCGATAGAGGTTTAGTTTAAATGAGTTAGTGACTGGCGAGTGTGGCGCAGAGAAACGCGCGCTGCTTAGTAAACTAATGAACGAAAATATCCGAGTTCAAATTCACGGACACCGGCTGGTTTTTTTTCGGAATCTCCCGAAGGGAAGTGGCAACCACCAAGAGTATCTTGCTACACGTACCCCTTCAGGGATACAGCCATTCCAGGTGGGAGGTTTCCTTCGGCAAGGTTAGCAGCCTACCGAAGATGAAGTAAAACCAAATGCTCAAAGTACCAGAACGAACTGGATAAAACAGCTTTAAGTCTAATACACGAGGAAGAAGAAGAAGAAGAAGAAGAGTTGTAACTTCTTTTCTAGCAGAGTAAGACAATTAATACAACCTTTAGTAAGCGAGAATTAAATATTGTATAGAAATATAATGAGTGAATAAGGTAAATCTGATAAGTTTTCGGTACTTCTGTATGGCGTACAAGGATGGGCATTGATGAAAATATCCGCAACGAACAAGATGGAAGCCTTCGAGATGCGGTCGCGGGATCCTCAATATACCATGGACAGCAAGGATAACCAACCCGAGCAGAAATTTTAGTAGGGTCCTGGTAGGGGCCAAATAAGGATGCCTTAATGCCTGTTCAGGCACTCATCAGGCAGCCCTGCTAGGGCCCTGTCCACAAATGTAACGTCGAGAATTAAAATTGCCTGATCAGATATTCCTCATCAGGACCTTATCAGGACCTCGTGATTGCCCCTTGTTGCGCCTTACCCGAGTAACAATTGAATCTAGTGGCTGTCTAGTAACGGCCTAGAAAAATTGTGTCGTATCTCGTCACTATGCAGTAATACTGTCTAGTTACTAGTTGGGAATGTAACGCTCATTTCTGCTAGTGGTTAGGCGAGAAAAATTAGCTAGCGGCTACGTAAAAACCCATAACTAGTACTTACCTAGCCGCGGCTAGACAGCGATAAAATAGCAAAAAAATTGGGAATAGATTTTTTATTTGTTAAGATATTTTCATTCTCTCTACATCAGTAGTAGTAATCTTCTAATCTCTTAATGTTATCTTATACTTAAAAAACATCATATGTGAAAAATTTGTTTTACCACTGCTGGATTCGAACCTGGGATCATCAGCTCTTCAGTCTTCTATCTTATGTCCTCGGCCACTCATATTCTTGTATTATATAATATAATTAGATAAAAGTTATATCTTATATAAATGATTTCGTCATAATACATAAATATATGTATATTATATAACGCGAAAACTAAATATTTAAATTTCTTCCGTGGCACCGTTTTGATTACGTAACTATGCGTGAAACGGAACACAGCTTTATGCTATCTACTATACAGGTATATCGGAACCGCTGTAATAAGGATAAGGATAAGGAAATCAATTCTGTGTAAGAATTTATACCTTAAAAATGTTTGAATAGGGTACTCTGCTAAGGATCGGATCAGGCACATATCAGGAATTCCTTATTAGGGCATTCCTTACTTCCTCCCTATCAGGCCCTAACCACACACAAGGCATACCCGATTTTATTTCTGCTCGGGAATGACGAGGTTCTGAGGCGATTGGGCAGGGGGCGGGGGATACTGACCATAATAAAAAGAGGAAAACGGTATATTGAGATCATTGAAGGAAAGATTGGAGGCAGAAGAGAGATAGGAAGGCAGAAAGTGTTCCTGGCTTCGCAATATATTCGCTGAACTGGATTGAGCACCGTGGAAGATCTGATCCGCGCATCGAGGAATCGGGAAGAGGGTGTGGTCGCGAACATCCATTAGTCGATATGCACGAGAAGAAGAAGAAGAAGGTAAGTTTACATTTTACGTGTCTCGGGGGCAGATAAAGTAGCTTCGAATGAACGTCGCGATTGGAGACCACCGAGACAAATCGGAGTGTGATAACGACGAGACGGGGTGTCATCGGTTATGCGCCGCAAGAGAGGCGTAATTTGATTCACAGAAGCCACAAAAGGCGGAAGTGAGACGCGGTGGAATTATTAAGGGCCACCGCAAGCGACGCCGTGGTGTAAATCCGAGGAAAGGCAGGGAGAGATACACGATGACACACAGTGTGGGCAGGTGTTCCGAAACCCGGACCCGGAGAAACATGCATTCTTCGGGCAGGTGTCCCAGCGGGTTAGTCGTGTCTCCTCTCGCTCTCGCGTGGCAAGGACAGTCCATTAATTCCCGGCGCTTTAATTAATCGCTGTTCGCTGATCACGACGCTTTCACTGCTTCTGGTATTCCACTCACGCGATATATCCCATCAAGCTGAACGAACGAAGAGAGAGAGAATCGAGGGAGGTCAGCTTAATCACAATTCCGATTATCGAGGTGCGATTTTACGTTTTTTAATAGAGAATGCGACGGAAATTGTAGTGTAATTGTAACGAGGGATTTTCCCCCCGTTTATCTAAACAAATTATTATCTTATCAGACAAGTTGTCTCTGAATAGTTACGAATTCGTAGTGAGATCTTACGTTCGAGACCGTCTTGAATTTATCTAAAGATGCTGTATGGAACATTTCATTGGCTACGGAGTATCCAAAGATTATCTCAAGACGATCTGAAATATAAGATCTGACTGTGAATGCCGCCCTAAACACACGCTAAGACATTTTCTTCTTACTAACGATCATACTCAGGACGAGCCTCACATACGGATTCCACCTCTCGACCTTTCTGCACTTGGAAAAATATTGTCCTAGATTTAAACTGGCACGGAATTTTTCTCATTCGCTTCGGGCACGCTAATGAAAACGCCTTTCTACTTGTGTGGCGGAATAATTCGCGAGCGGCTCAAGATGCGGGCACGGTTGAAAAGGATGCCAGGCATCCCGAGAGAGCTGGCGCATCCCAGAAGCCGTTGGAATGTCCATGCCGGCGACGCCGATAACGCGCGTCTTCGGACGTATTGTCGAATACGACGATCGAAATATGACACAGCGGTCAGGCGATGGAAGTCTCGCCTTTCACGGGACGCTATGAAACGTTTATTGTCTGAGACGCGTTCGTTAGACCTCGGCAGCTTGACCGCGAGGAATGAAACTGCAGCCACGGTGCAGCGGCGGCAAGAAATAATTGGTGAGAGTATAATACGATTCGCGGACACCGGGATCGGTCGCGATACAAGCCGGTCGTTCCCTTAATGAATTCCTCCGGTCGTCCTAGGGGCAGCTTAGCGCGACTCAGCTCGGCGACGATAAAGCAGGGCATAATAAACAGCCCGTAACATGCGGGTAATTAAGTCCAAGAACGCAGCCCGAGCGTGCCCGCGATCCATTCGAAATGACAATAAGCTTTTACTACCGCGGCGGCCTCGCTCGCACCCGTGTGCGTCCGAGTGCTCGCGTGTGCGTGCGAATTGCGCGGGGATCGGACATTTTTCATCCCCCCAAAACAGGGCCAACCGCGGCGAGTCACGAGAGACAGGCCGCGTCCGCCTTTTGTTCGCGTTGCAGACGTACACCCTTCCTTTAATCGAGGGCGCGTTTATGTTTCCGCCACTCCTAGGCAATCTGTTTGCGTAATAGCGCTGAAACTACATCAGTCCCTCCTGGGCTCCTCTTAAGTTAAAATTCGTTCTGATAATAATTCGAGCGCAAATTTCTATTTAAGTCTCGAGTCCTGGTTTCGTCGATTAGCGAAATGTATATAGTATTGCGAGGCAAAAATTTCGTTTGACGATTATCGAACGATCTCTCCGCTCGAGAATTCTTGGGTTATCGAGGGGAAGTAAGGAATGAAACAAGGCGGGAGAGGGAGAGGCGATGTAAACGCAACAAGACGCATTACGTGGATATCTCGTTTCTTCACACGCAAAAATCAAAGGGGAGATTCCATTATCTGATTGCATCGTGCGGGAGCGTCGACGTAATTTTTTCTTTTTTCTACAGAGAATGCTGCACTTCAAAGTCTCACCGACGAATTCCACGCGGGGTGCCGAACACATTGCGGGATCGAGAGTACACGAGCGAGCGCATCCTGCGTCTCCGAAAGATAATTACTTCTCCGCTCCTCTCCCTCGCGCGCTTCGGCTGCTAGTAATAATAAATTCCCGACCACGTGGATAAACGAAAGGCCGGCTCTGTCAACGCGCGCAGGCGATGCGACTCCGCGCTCGAGAGCCTGTTTAAACGATCCGCGACGCATGATGCACTCGGACGGCGTTGTCACGTTGCAATAACTGTTATACAAAGCACGCGATAAAATTTATCATACAGATAATCCCGCAATCGTTTGTTCCGCCCTTCCCAGTTAAATTAGGAATATCGAAACATAATAATAAGACAGCAGTTGCTGTCTACGGAATGCATATTAGGAGTCCACGCAATTTCTAACAAAGTGAATTAAAATATACCAATAAAATTTTCAAGACTATCCTCTCTTGTAGAAGCTGCTTGTTGCGATTCTTTTCCAATCTGTGCCCAGGTATACAGGGTGTCCCAGGAAGAAAGGTCAATATTCTGGGAGGTGATAGTATCAGCCATTTTAAGCATAAATGTTGATACGAATACATGCCCCATTCCCCACTGTTTCCGAGATAGAGCTATTTGAATGTACAGTTGCAAAATTACTGACAAGAAAGAATAGGATTAGATTTTGTTAGATTTCAATAGATATCCTCGAACATTCAAGGAAAGTATCAAATCTCTGAAGATCTGATGATTTTTAGATTCGGATCCCACGAGATATAATTAAATATTACATGATTGAGACATATACAGGGTGTCCCAGGAGGAAAGGTCAATATTCTGGGAGGTGATAGTATCGGCCATTTTAAGCATAAATGTTGATATGAATATATGTCCCTCTCCCCACTGTTCCCGAGGTGGAGCTACTTGAACGTCTCGTGTATTCGCTTTTCTTCTGCAGTACACTTCGCTCTTCATCCAACCCCATAAACAAAAATCCAACGGGGTCAGGTCTGGAGATCTTGGTGGCCAATTAATGGCGCCGCACCGACCAATCCACCGATTAGGGAAAGTGACGTTAAGGTGCTGCATCACAAATCGAGTATAATGAGGAGGAGCTCCGTCATGCTGAAAGTACACAACACGCCGCGTAGCCGAAGGAACGTCTTCCAGTTGTTCTGGTAATGCATCTAGCAGAAATTCCACGTTAATTTTGCCCCGTCATACGATCTTCCAAAATAACGGCATTTGCCAAGTGATTTTGCAACTGTACATCCAAACAGCTCTATCTCGGAAACAGCGGGGAATGGGACGTACATTCATATGAACACTTTTGCTTGAAATGACCGATACTATCACCTCCCAGAATATTGACCTTTCTTCCTGGAACACCCTGTGCAGGTAATAATTTCGAGCACGAAAGAATTACAAAAATTTCGACTGGGCGACACGTTATCGTAGAGACAAATTTAATGGAGCACGTTCGGGCAAATGCCAGACGAGCCCACGAAGGGTGGCAGTTTACGAAACGCGATATCATACCTCGTGTAACAGCGCTCTAAAGATAACGCGGCGAGGAATGACGCGATGCGACCTGGAGATGCATCCTGTATCATACCGTGGAGTGGAAGGAATCGTGACTAATGGTACCTGCCGATGGAAGAATGGTTCTTGCTACTCTGACGCTGCGGAGTTTCTCCCCTGCAGCCTTCTGCAACGAACCGTTTGACGATCCGGACCACACAGCTCAAGTATTTCGTGAACGATATATCGCTTTGTAAGATGCGTTGTAAATGAGCTCGTAAA